GTTAAGACATGTTGGGTTAAAAGATCGGCTAATTCCCTAGCTGACGGTTTAGCTAAACAAGGGGCAGAAAGGGATTCACTGTTTTGGGCTAAGCTGTAACTTTAGTGTCCTCTTTTCTTTTTTCCTTTCATGAGGCTCTTTGTGGCTCTTGGAAGATAAGTGTGTTTGTTTCCCTCTTGTAAATTCTTTATTGATGATTTAATGAAAGTGTTATTGATCAAAAAATAAATAATCAATCTGATATTTGCACATGATCCTCTAATTAGATGCTTCTTCCCTTTAAAAAATATGGTTTTTTGCCCTTCCATATTACCCAACAGATGGTGAAATGAATAACTGGTGTTACCACGGCACAGGTGCCAAGAAAGTGTCAAGAGGTGTCTGGAGTGTTCGACTCTAAAAGCTCTGACAACATGACATGGCTATGCAAAAATATATAAATAATTTAAACTAGAAAAATGCAAAACAAAAAGAGAGTATTAGATGGTTTTTGAATAATGACTATTGGAATCTCTCAAAAATAATTAAAAACTTAAAGACATAAGACTATAACCAAACAGAAATACAAATGTGTACCATAAAACTACACAGAATGCAAATTTTCTAAGCATTACAAGTTGCAGTAGAAATATAAGATCATGTATTACAACGCTGCAAAGGCTACATTTCATTTTTTTTTTTGATGAATAACAACATTTCATTACTTAATCATAAAAGTAATAACAGAGAGGAAGATAAACTTTCTTATCTTCCATAAGGAGTTTAACACTCCTAAGAACAAAAAGGAAAAAAGTTCACTTGTGCCCAAAACATTGACTCCCTCTCGACTCCTTGCTTAGCTAATCCATCCGCAAAAGAGTTGGTTGATCTTTTCACCCAGCTATTCTTAACTTCCATCTCTTGAACCAGCCACCTAAACTTCCTCATCTCGTTACTGTACATCCATAATCTGCTGTTTTCTTTACTTAGCCACCCTACCACAACCTCTGAATCCCCTTCAATGATGAGTCACCCACTCCAATTGGGCTAGAGAACATGGCGAGACAAACCCATTCTCATCCCTAAACACACCTCCAATCCCCGATTGTCCAAGATTCCCCCGACTACTCCCATCAAAGTTTAGTTTTAAGAAGCCAGCTGGTGGGGGAGTCCAAGACACATCCAAGATTGCTTTGGTATAGGTGCAGTTAGCAATCTCACCCAACTTCCTCAACAAATCATCCATTGTAAAGTCTGTAAACAGCTCTAATGATTTCAGCCAATGTACTGCCCTTATATGGATCAATTCTCTCAATTCTTCATTGCTTTTTCTACTTCAGAAAAGATTTTGGAATTCCTTTCCTCCCATAGGGCCCAACAAACTGCAGCCCTCAAACATCTCCACATAGTCCTTCCCCTTTTCCTTTGGCACCTGAAGAGAGAAGGGGAAAAAAGGCTTTGCAAATTTGATGGAGGATTCCAACTACACCCAAAAAGGGATAGTGCCCACCCCCAAATGGACTTTTAAGCACAAAATAGAAATTCAATGCCTTGCATAAAATGGAAACTGAAGGGCAATCTAAGGAAAATGTAGAAATAGAGAGAGATGATGGACAGATGGAGTGAAACACAATTTATTTTTTGATATAGAGGCTAAAGGTTCCAAAAACATATTTATAAGATGAAATAGATTAAGGATATACATAATAATAATAAGAGAAGCCATTATATAAAAAATAACTAATGCATATTAATAACATAAGAGGTTTTTTTTTTCTATTCTGACTTGACATGCTTTTCAACCATTGCATGACAATACCAAGTGCTGGTTTCAGCACAGCATGTGCAAAGGTGTGCATTTTCTCGATACATTCCTCAAAAAAATCTGATTCATGTGGATTCTTCCCCAATAACAAAGAGAGATGGTGGAATTGTCAATTAAGCACAATTTTACAAAGAAATATCCCACTTGGTGCCATGAAAAAATGACAATACCTGCCAAATCCTTGAGTATGCCATGTCCAGGTAAAGTTGAGGATAAAATGCAGCACAAATTCTACTACCTTCTGACCTACTCCAAATCCTTGACCATGTTTCAAAAGTTTATTAGTGTATCCTACACTAAACATCCCCTTTCTAAACAAAGAGAAAAGGATATCCTATGTGTTTACAGCAATGTTATGTTTTAGGAGGTCAATGGTGTTCTCCTCCTCCCTACACATAATGCACCTGTTTATATTAACAGAAACTCTTAAATGTGCAACTTTTTTCTGATTCATCTTGCTTATTTAATGAAAGAAGTTCCCAGCTTTGTTATTCATGTTTGAATTTATAAGTTCTATTATCTGTTCAAGAATATCCAGATTTTATTTCTGGACATCATTTTAGGGATTTCTTTGATTTTTCTTTTTCCCTTTTAACAATTTTTGTAGGTCTTAGAAGTTGGAATTTATCGCTGATAGTTTCTTCCTTATGTAAACATAATTAAAATGGTTTAAGATGATGGTAGAGAAGTAAGGGCCCATAACTTTCAAGGTGCAGAGGCAAGGCTGGGCAATAGGGGGGGTACCATGTCACCTAGGTGATGGAACTTTTTTGAATACAAACCATAAATCCTAGGGTAATTCCCTAAGTTCTATAGCAAGCAGCAACCATCTTTCACTATATAATCTTCATTATATATATATATACTTCATTTAAAACATAGAAAATCAACATATTCATGAATGGAAATAAATTTCAGAAAATAGTGGGGCTGAACCTCTATTTTTGTCCTGGAAAAAGAAGAAAAGAAAATAAAGGATGAAAGAAGAAAATCAATATGTGTTGATTGGACAAAATTTTGAAGTCTTCAAGGGTTCAAGACAGTATACATCTTGATTGAAGTATTGAACTGTTATGGATGCATTCCTCGAGAAGACGTACCGTCGCCACCGGCAGCAACAAGCACCTGACCCACCGCCAGCAGCAGCAGTGATTCAATGATTCTCATCATACCCAGTTCGGCAACAGCAGCCTTATCTAGATTAGATTAGATCATCTTGCCTGTTCTTATCTTATTGTTCTTATCTTATTCTATTGCTCTTATCCTATCTTGTTAGTACCTTATCAGATTAGGATTAGCTTATCTTATCCTTAACAAGATAAAACTGGAAGTCTCCCTATTCAGCAAGGAGACTCCCTTTGATKAGGACTCTTGTAATCTCCTATTTAAGGAGACCCCATTATTGAATGAGGATATCGAATATTCAGTTTAAGTGAGTTAGGAGAGTTGGTGATCTCTTGGACAAATCACCAGAGGCGCCAAGATAGGTTCATCAAGAGCAGGAAGGAACAAGGGAAAACAGGAGGTTTTCCCCGTGGACCGACCCGTGACGA